ATATCATTTCATATCATTTCATATCGCACCACATCATACCAAATAACAATATAAGTACATACATTCTATGAATTATTATGTTTATTTCTTAGAGACAATGCCTGATAGATAAAGGTTGACAACTTACGGATAAGAACATTGTCATCAGGACTCATTAACAAAGAAAATTTCACCCTATCGGGATATACAGAATAATATGTTGGGACATTTTTTTCCTTAACTCAAGTAGAATGGACAAATTAAGAGGAAGTGATATTCACACAATTAAGATCACAAAATGTACAAATTCTATGTTCTCTCTCTAGTTTATGATATCTCCCTGTTTCGATGCGATCAGCATTTTTACTTAACTAGCCCTCCTGGCCAGTGACGTTTCAACATTATTCCATACACTGTTTGGTGTAACGCCGTTTCAGCATAATTCTAGCAATATTGTAACGGGGTACACGTGAGATAGATCCTTGTCAGTGTACTCATGATAGGAATCGAACGTGGGTGTACTGACGGAACACTTTAGCCACAGATAAACCCACCACCTTTTGAGTGTTGCAACCTTCCTTTGTCACTGAAATAACGCCTGCTGCTTTATCTCTTGTGAAGAGTATATACACTGTGACGTGTTTTTGCTATGTTAGACTGAACAGGTTGTTTTGATGATGAATAATAGAAAGCCACTGTAATCTGAATTAGACCTCGTTCAATTCGACATCTGGCGTAAATTACCTTCATATACTCTACAATATGTCAATACGAGCTTAAAGCTTAATGTATTTTAGGGCTGGGCTGTAGGGTTAATCAGGGGAGAGTAATAAAAGCTATAGAGGTATTTGTTGTGCGTCAAGATAACATTGATAGCATATAATATTATTAAAAGTCCATTTTATAAATGGATTTGCGGAGGGTAAAATAATTTATGTACAAGGACATGGCGAGTATAAAAATGATTTCACAAGCAGTATTGTGGAATTACGTTTTACATCAAAATCTCAACCATCCATCACCCTTCCCAATCCCGCTTCTGTAGTAAATGAATAGTCACTGTAAATTGTGTTAGTAATGAAAATTCGGATATAACAGAACAGACTGAGGATGAAATGTGAAAATTACACCAGGACCTGATCATTAACAAAAACGTGAAGGAAGCTACTTGTATGATGGACATACACGTCTATTTGTGAGCGAGTCGAGCAATATTATTGATGCATTCAGTGTTCAGTGATATTCACGGAATTACGGGAGACAGGTGCGCGGGTTTGCAGCAAATCGTGTATGTACAGTTTAACACTTGAAACCCAGCATCCCGTTCTGTTAACAGCTGATAGGCTTTCAGTGACGTGCAAAACTTTATTTATCACCCTGTGAAACTGTTCCCGCTGTTCGTTCTCGTGTGCATTTAGCTCTCTCCTTGTTTGAAGAAGGGAAAAGCCTTGTGAAGAGTCCAATGGAGACGAGTCTTACAATAGCAAATATATGTTTGGTTGACGTTGGCCTGATCAGTGGGTATGAGTGAGAGACGTTTGAAAAGACACATGCATCAGTACTAGAAAAGATGACTCAAGCAAATGTATCAAGAATAAGTCTAAATGATTAAGCATAACTCTGTTGTTTGACTGTTTTGTGCGCTATTTCGGCGAGGGGGTAATTTTCGAAAAATCATTAATAACCGTTAAACGACCCATATCCTACCCTATTAAACTTACATTACCACAAACTGCAAACTTTTTGGTATTTTTTCAAGAGAGAAAAAGACCCTTTATTGAATTAGAAGGATGTTGATTCGTTCAAACCAAGCTTCAGTCCAAGAACGAGAAATGGATTTACGGGGGGCGCGGTTAAGGCGCCAGGCTAGTGATCCAGCGAGGTTGAGGTGTCGGGATCGAGCCAACCTGTGACCGGGTGTAAAAACCTTGGAGTCAACTTTGTGTGTAGACTCTTTCAGTGTTGTCACAACCCCTAGTGAACAGTACACAACCCTGTGCACTTGAAAGAACCCACGAATCCGTTGGATATGGCCAGATGGTGGCCACATGAATACGTGCAAACATCTAGTTGCGGGTACAGCAAAGTGTGCAGTGGACAAAGGACTGTGACTATGTGTCCCAGTCCACCCAGGTGTGAATGGGTACCTCAGTAGGATGAGAAAGCCACAATAACTCGGTGCGCCTAGTGGCTGCACGATTTGTATACTCCCCAGGGAGTTAAGATTTATAATAATACGATGTGCCGTTGAGATTGACATCCAATGATCGAGGATAAAAACACCAGCGACTTGAGCATGCACTAGTTGTATAGATATGTGCGCTATATAAATATCCTATCCTATCATATCATAAATAGAGTGACGGGAACTTTGAATCCTTGTGTCAAAGATTAAATGCATAACCCTTAAGAGAACCAAGGGTGGCATTTCTTTATATTTAAGTTGAGTATTTTAGTCAAGTGCACTGGCATTTTTGCAATTCCAGACAGAAAAAAACTCAATTGTCAAAACATTTGATTTTCAACTTTGTACAACTATACCCCACTGCGTACGAAGTACATTGTTCCTTGCTCCAGTACACATGGTGACCACAGATGTAGATAAAAGCTACACAAATCATTCCACATTTAACCTTTATAATATAACTCTGCTTAAGGCGGGGTCCATTGTAGTTTGGTACAATGTGTGAAGCCCATTTCTGGTGTCCCCCGCCGTGATAGTGCTGGAATATTGCTAAACGCGGCGTAAAACCAAACTCAGTCAGTCAGTCAGTCATTGTAGTTTGCACCTCCATCTTCAAAGGTTCTGGACATTTCAACATTGAAATGAAATGAACACTGAGAAAATAACATGTGAAAAGCTGGAAATGCTCTAAGTTGTGAAATTTGAATTTGGGGATATTCCAATTTTGATATCCCCATGGACACTGGTTACTTACTGGTTTCTTTATGTATGCGAGCCACACTTTCTGCTGGGATTGATACAGTCTAAATAAGGGAATTTGGCAAAGTAATAATTTTCTCTGACTATTAACCGAAGCTTCAGGATTTACGGTAATCTGATGGTAAAAGAACCAATTCCATCCCACTGATTTACCAATCAAGGCCTAGATTTTAGAAGCTCTCTTAGCGCTAAGGTAGTAGTCATAAGTGCCATACATTAACATTAACAATAACTCAAAATCTAAAATCTAGGCCCTGGACTAGAAATATAAGACAAGTGAATTTGTTACATCAGTGAAGTGATTGATGTCCGATGAAATACCCTGTTTTGACCTATTGTTCTAATGCCATTGTAGGTTTGCAGGTGAATACATGACTTGCCTTTCCATGTGTTTATGTAGCGTGTTACAGGTGCGGCAGGATACTCTCAGATTTTCGCATACATCTGGTATCATCATTACTCAATGACCCGTGAAAGTCCGGGTTAGAATGTACCTTCAGTAACCCATGCTTGGCGTAAGAGGCGACTAACGGGATCGGGTGGTCAGGCTCGCTGACTTGGTTGACACATGTCATCGGTTCCCAATTGCGCAGATCGATGCTCATACTGTTGATCACTGGATTGTCTGGTCCAGACTCGATTATTTACAGACCGCCGCCATATAGCTGGAATATTGCTGAGTGCGGCGTAAAGCTAACTCACTCACTCATTATTCAATGAATATATGAACATATGTATGTTTGATTACACTGTATCTTACAGTGAATATTCTTTCTTTAAGTTAAACTGTCACTTATATTTTTAGGATATATCGACAAATAGCAATTCAATTTCGTATGAAAGTTTCCTTTATGTCGCCTATCTATCTTAATGATCGTAAGGAAACGAGATACATAAGTTTCAAATGAACTGACGTCCTAATTACTTTTCAAAGTAAAAGATAGAAAGGAAACCTTAGTGATATGTATTATGTCCAGCAAATATAACCAAATGTATTTAATGACATATATTGTGAGAAAGTGTATATTTTCATAAAATACATGCATTTGCGAAAATGTCTTCTGCGGAACGGAATGGAACGGGAATGAAAATTATTTAACTTCCAGCAAGCTTTCAGGCGTCCCTCAAAGTCTTGGTGTAATATCTTTGGGAGCCACTGGACACTTCACACTTTGCACACATTCGTTGAATCGAACCCGGGTCTTCGACGCTTTATCTCTCTGCTACCCCATCGTCCCACATGTACGTGTGGACTAAAGGCACTGCTTGCACACTTCACAAACACCGTGTATTATTCCCATCAGAACAATGGCGTCATGAAAGACGCCACGGTTCCCGAGGTTGATATAACTCTTTCAGGTATCACATGATTAACGTACTGGTAGGATAGATAAGACCAATAAGCGAATATAGCACAATTTCGAATTATGTTTCATGTCATGACCTGTCAAACTTCAGTGACGCATGGATTGGTAGGAGACTCGCCACCAGGGGCTAAAAAGCCAAGGAATCAGATCATTTTATACCAATGTGAGGTTGATGCGTCTCTTCAAAGTGAATTGGTGAATCAGGCATAACACTGCATATTTCTTTATCTTCAATAATCACGCCATATGTTCATGTGTATGCTCTCACATGACTGTAAACGTGAGCCTGTGACGATGAGAGACGATGTGTCCGAATGGACGACGGTACATCACTGACATCACAGACAGGGTCGTTGTTCCACATTTCGATGTTGTACCACAGTCTTCATGGTCGGCAGTGCTGAGAGTCCAGTTCTTAATCTCCCATAGAGCATGTTTGTGACATTTTGGGTCACAGAATATGCCCGAGAGATCCTCCAGTGCAAAAGTTTTTCCCTATTGGAAAAAGCCCTCCATCGTCCAAACCTCAACGTATTAGAGGAGTTGTAGCTGGTGGAGGTTAAACCATATATTCATACTGTGCTCGGTTATTGGTAGTTATGTCATTTCTAGAGGATTGTATGTGTGAAATTAAAAATGGACCGCTTTTGTTAACGCCATATGGTCATAGTTATGAGCACAACAAAATGTGTCTATTTCTCTGGAGAAACTAGTTTTCTTTTGCGATTAGAGTTAATTTAGGTTTGGACACGTTCCTTTGCAATGCTTAGTGGTAGCATACCGATACTAATAGTATGAAACATATTGGGTGCCTCGAAACTTTCAATGTGTATACATGTTTATTATTTTAAGTATGCAATGGCTTCATAATTTGTAGGTCTTTGAACAATGTCAGGATTATTAGCTGTACTAATATAACGTTGAAAAGTCTTGGTATCTAATATCCATAAGTAATATCCTGGACGAGGTTTACTTTGAGACAGGATATTATTTCATTCACCGGTTAATGCAAACACATTTTTAAAATTATTCTATGATTTCTATTTATTTTTTATTTTGTATAATTTTTGACACGTTTTATTAATAGAACCACGTGATGCAACAATGCATTTGAGAGTGAGTTGTTGTTTTTTGTTTCTTTATAACCGTGCAAAAAGAGGGGGAGAATGAAAAGAGTAAGATTGCGGGATAGATACAGGGTTCAGAAAGGATTTCCTCACAAGGAATAAAATGTGTTTTTTTGTGTTTTTTCAAAGAATACTTTCATAACAAGGGAACAGAGATGACCACATTATACGGAATTTTACATCATTTTCGCCGAAAATATGTTTTTCTAGTTTGAAATGATATTTTATGAAATAAATGAGTTGGTTGGTATTTAATTCAGCAGAGTCATATCGTGTTTTGTTAATGTATTTCTTGATGATAATGAAAAGTTAATCAGGACAGTTGCCTTCGGGTCTCCCAGCAGAAAGTGTTCAATATTTATGTCTCGATTACAGCTGGTTTTGTATCGATACCACCCGACAAATTTAGAGATAAGGTGATTTCTTTTTTTAATACTATTCCCTTGAGGCAGCCGTGAGGGCCAAGCATAAAGCGTTCGTTCGTCACACAGAAGGCCCAGGGTCAATTCCTCAGAATGGTTTAGGCGAGCCCCATTTCTGCCCCCGTCCTCCGGTGATATTATTGGAAAGTTTCTGATTTAAAACTGAATATATAAAACAGATATATTGAAATATCTGCAGCTATATAGCTGAGCCTGATCAAAGTCATGTGCAGTGCAATTTCCCATCTTGGCTTCAAATACATAATCAGAGTTTACATGTGAGCCATTCACATTACACAAGTTTATTGAGTTTGTGATGAGTACCGCCCTGGGGCACAGAGCGCTCACCATTTTACAAACATCGTCACTTGATTGTGATTCATAAACATATTGTCACAATATAGTCTAAATCAGACAATACTCACTGTGCTTGTCTCACTGTATTAATGCTGAGGTGATACAGAGACAATATATAAACGTCTGATTTGTCATTTAGTATTTACTTGCCAGTTTTCATATTAGTAAAAGTTTCAACATCTGTGGCTTGTGTTCCACACAAACACATACATATTTTTTTCTGTCGTTCAAAACGTGTAAGATCATTAGCACAAAACTGACAAATCCTGTTTACGTAATATTTTCGCTGAGTCTGGTGCTGATAATATCGACATCCGGGGTGATTTTGTAACGGACGAATTGTTTTCTAACACGCCGTAAGTCCAGTCTGACTACGCAATGACACTTTAAAGTGTGGTATGGTAAATTACCTGGAAAGGGACCATGTGTCCAGCGGAAAGCAGCTCCACCCTGTGAAATATAATCAATGATTTCACAGTAACAACTCATCGGGGGTACCCATGTATGGTGTGAAGATTTTTAAATCGTCATGTTTTTACGAGCTTGTGCCCATGTGTGACATGTTCCGATGACACTATTACTCCATATAAGCCTGCCTTGATATCCGCATAAACTGCACAGCTTCCATTGCAAGAAGAAACAACAAAGATGTAAGTATTAATTTTGATCATGTTTGCATATATTTTGTCTGACAACTTTATTTAAGCTTTTGTTTTGTCTATCACATATAGTTAAGCCCAATATATAAACTTCTGATTTGTTATTTAGTTTTGACTTTCCAGTTTGCATACTTGTCATACTTTCCCTACCAGTATGTATGGCACGTGCTGCACACAAACTCTAAACAGTGCAAAACGTGTTTGGAATATTCTACCAACTTAACTTGGACATGTGCGTGTTTTATATTTATGTATTTGCCATGCGATAACTCTCCTCCTATAACATATATCAGGATCGTATTTCGATTATGTTGAAGTGTTATACTTTCAGTGGTTTCTCCTCCTATAACATATATCAGGATCCTATTTCGATTATGTTGAAGTGTTATACTTTCAGTGGTTTCTCCTCCTATAACATATATCAGGATCCTACTCGATTATGTTGAAGTGTTATACTTTCAGTGGTTTCTCCTCCTATAACATATATCAGGATCGTATTTCGATTATGTTGAAGTGTTATACTTTCAGTGGTTTCTCCTCCTATAACATACATCAGGATCCTACTCAATTTTGTTGAAGTGTTATACTTTCGGATCCTATTTCGATTATGTTGAAGTGTTATACTTTCAGTGGTTTCTCCTCCTATAACATATATCAGGATCGTATTTCGATTATGTTGAAGTGTTATACTTTCAGTGGTTTCTCCTCCTATAACATATATCAGGATCGTATTTCGATTATGTTGAAGTGTTATACTTTCAGTGGTTTCTCCTCCTATAACATATATCAGGATCCTATTTCGATTATGTTGAAGTGTTATACTTTCAGTGGTTACAGGAAACAGTTTCCTTAAAAAAGACCTTGTCCTTCTATGTTTAGTTGTGTGTCGGCTACTCAAGTTGTTATTAATCGAAGGGCATATTATTGTCATTTAAGCTTAGTTGTCCTTTCCAGAGCCTTCAACTCTTTAAATATAGCTCTTATATCAATACATGTACGGAAACGATTAGATTAGGGGTAGATTAGGTCTTCAGCAACCCATGCTTGCCACAAAATGCGACTATGCTTGTCATAAGAGGCGACTAACGGGATCGGGTGGTCAGGCTCGCTGACTTGGTTGACACATGTCATCGCAGTTGCCATACTGTTGATCACTGGTTCCCAATTGCGCAGATCGATGCTCATGCTGTTGATTTGTCTCTTACATCTCACCAGATTGCCTGAAAAGAGTTTTCAAAAAGTCCAAATCTAATACAGCTCCAGGTCCTGATAGCATTCGAAACCGGTACTGGAAACTGTTCCCCTTTGTCCAAACATCAGTACTTTACTGTTTCAACTCTCTCGTGGACGCATGTGATGTTCCTCCATGGTTCTGCAAAGGTCGCACAATACTCCTTCCCAAAAAAGGAGACTTGACTGATCCCAAAAACTTCCGTCCTGTCACATGTTTGAATATAAAATCTTCACAGGTGTTTGACAAATCTCGTGTCATCTTATTGCTCTTCTAATGACATAATTTATAGAGAGCAGAAGGGAGCAAGGAATTGATGTTGAGGGTACAAGGATCAACGTCTTGTAAAAATAATCATTTTGGAAAAGGCTAAAACATATCACCGCAACCTCTCCATGTGCTTGATTGACTACAAAAAAGCATACGACTCTGTCCCTCATGAAGTGTCTTCATTGTATTGACCTCCCTGAGCGACTACTTGATTTTCTCAAGTCTTTAATGAGTTCCTGGCCGACTCAACTTGAGATATACTCTCAAGGGCAGGTGCAGACTTCGGAATCTATTCCAATCAGAAGGGGAATATTTCAGGGGGATTCCTTCAGTCCTTTGCTATTTTTGCTTGTCTTTAAATCCTTTGAGCTTTCTGCTCAATAAAGGGGATGGTTACCATCCCGGACCTCCTCAGCACAGATGTTGGAGGAGTTATTGAGCATTTTGTGGAAGATCAGACCTACACCAGAATGCCCAGATTCAAGAAAAACTTCGGGTTGAGTATAAATCTCGCTTAAAGAAGATCTGGGGCTCAGAGCTAAATGCCTGACACAAGGTCAAAGCCACCAATACTTTTTCTGTGCCGGTCCATTCCTATTCATTTGGAGTAGTTGATTGGACAAAACAAGATATCCAGAGAAGATCATGTCTGACAGCAGAGCCCACCACCCTCGTTCCTCTCTTAATCATTTATATATGCCAATCAATTCTGGAGGTCGGGGTTTCATTAATGTGGAGGCTCTTCTTGATAGAATTCCATTGTGTACTTTTGCACATATTTATTTATCGGATGATCCTCTGGTGACGCATATCAAGACTCATGATGAAAGCAAGGAATTCCACAGCTATTTTAAATGTGCCAAAGTTGTTGGACAGAATCTGAAATTTGATGTTGATTTTGTTGATGGTGATGTACTGCTGGACGGTACAGCAATGGGAGTAAACCAGGTGAAATTATTCACCAAGTCTGCCCAGAGTCGGTCTTTTGTGGGAGAAACGTTAAGAGAAACCATTGCATCTTGTGTTCATGCAGTGTGTGGAACAGAATAGTAATCCAACCGACTCCTTCGCCAGTATGAAGTCGGCTGGTCTTAAATGTGAAACTGAGGCTTTCTTTTTGCTGCCCAGGACCAGTCACTTCCTACTCGCAATCGCAATAATGTGATTCTTAAACAAAAGATCAATATGAAATGAATTTACATGTCCAAAAAACTTGTCAGTGGATGCCCTTCCCTGGCACAAACAGCATATCTTAAAATACATGATGGCATGGCTCGTTGCTTCTACTACATTAGTAATTAATGCCAACTAGCATTATTTTGACAGTACGGGGGTCGTGTCAGCTCATGACGAGTTCACCAATTTAGTGAGTTCTAGTTCACGGTTTAATTAACGAGTTCACTACTTACTGAATTTAAAGTTGTGAACAGTTTTCACACAGAGTATAAATAAAGGAATGATTTTGACCAAAGACCATTCGCAATCATGGCTCACCATGAAGTGTGTGAAAAGTGTTAAAATACACATCAAAAGTGTGTAGAATCACCAAGAAAACGATCTTTAAGTTCATTCTGTCGTCCAACCGTGGAGGAAGAACATTAGTAACTCATCAAAATTTCAGGATATGCATGTTCAAGAACATTAGAAGCGCTTGCTAAAAGACTCCCCCCTTCATGTTGACTGAAAGAGCTTGTTTTGGAGACACTACCCATTCCCTTTCAAATGACGTAATCATAAGGACATAACTTACTCTAATGTTTTCACTAATTCATACATGGTGCCAAGGGTTCAAACTAAACACTGAATGGTCACACAAGTGTCAGCTCACAATATGTTGTAAACAGTACCAGCTTGAATATCTGGACACAATGTTTTAGGCAGATTGAAATGGGGGTGTCCTTAAAAACAGCCCTCGACTAAATATAAATTAAGTAATCCAAATCTGTGAGTGTTGATTATGACGGGAAGTCATCCAATACTATACTGAACATATTTTATATGATATACTTTGAGGGCATACCATTATCCATGAGGGCAGATCGTTTTTCATTTTCTGCAGTTTTGTTAGAAATATTATACCCGAATGTGTTTTGATGACTAATATGTCGTTAAGTACATTTCCCACATATGTGAAATTTTGGATATGACTTTGCTAAAGATTCCTTCAAAATAAAATGGAAGCTTTTCAAACATTGGACATCGAGAACATAGTTAGTCTACGTACCTTTTGATCAACCCTCGTAAATTTATGTGATGTATGTATGAAAAGTGCTTAAAATAAATGTATGTAATGCATGTAAGTTGCTCAATGTGTGTATGAAATGTTTGAAAATTGCCAGTGATTGATTAATTGTATGAATATATGAACGAATGTACGACCATCTTGCAAGCCGTAAATTACTTTTTTTGACATGTCCCCCAGATTTAACCCCCCACTGCCATTGTTTCGCTTATCCTTTATAAATTGGCAAAGGCTAAATGTTGCGCCAGGCCGACGTGCTAGAAGGGTCTGAAATGAGCAAATTAACTCGGTTGTAGGTCTGGCGGTACCTCCCCGGGGAATCGAACCCGTGTCTTCGGCGTGACGAGCGAACGCTTTAACCTTTAGGTTACCCCATCGCCCCATTTACTTTTAGAGAAATGTGGTGTGATATAGTGCCTTTAAGCTTATTTGCTTACGCGCACATCCCTTTCCAGAGCCTTCATCTCTTTAAATACTGCTCTTATAATGTCAATAATACTAACAATAATTTATAAAGCGCAATATGCAATACATTCAGAATATACTCAAAAATTAGGTTAAATTAGATTCAAATGCTTCTATTTCAAAGATGGGCGATTATAGTTCAACCAGCTATTTCGAATGCTCATGCGTGTGACAAAGTGACCATAAGTACCAACAAGAGATTTTACAGTTTTCGGTAAACACCTTAAAATACACTGTAATATCTTGACTAATAAATATGTAATTCAAGAATCGAAGCTCTTGATGAGACCAGTTTGCGTCATTTGCATTCATTGCATTGTTGGTACTAAGGGATGTTTGGACTAGTAGTCATATGTACCATTACTTGTTTACTGTCATGTACTGTTCAGTTCCCAGCCAAAGCTTTATAACAAAATACATTGCTTCTAGACCGGACAAGCCAGCGATTGAGCATTAATTCACGCATATGAGATACGATGCAGTAAACGCTTTTGATATGTCCAGATGCAGGTGAAAAATATCTGTTATTGTCCTCACATAAATAGGACTTAAGTTCCCAACTCTGGGAAGCAAAGCAAGGTTAAACAGAATACGCCATGTTTCTCGATAATCAAGGTGATGATGTTAAAATATTCGTAATTGTAGCTGTAAGAACATGACACTAAATATTCCTTCGGGCTTAGGCTGTCTTAAAACTGTATTTTTCTTACCAAGTTCTAAGAATGCTCATTAATCAAAGGGTACAATACATTAAGTTCGGAAGTTTAGGTATGGTATTGGTGGTGGAGTTCAATGTGTAATTCACAATTCAAGTTGTTTGTGTTTCTATCTGGTATTTCAACCATCTAGACAAAGCGGAACAATGTTTATCGCAGAAGTTGTTTTCATGTTCTTGTCACTCATTGTGTGTCCTGCTAAAGGTACGCCAAGCCACTGGCCCTCGTAAAAATCTGTGGTCGTCGGGAACCACATGCTTAGGATCCGCAGTTTCCTTGTCCTATTTCTAAGGCCATCTGTATTTATTAAATTAGTCGTTTCCATCTTCAGTCTCATCTGGCAAGTAAACAGACCGGCAAAATAAATAAAGAAAGCAAGGAGTGTTTTTTACTAATATTTAACTTCTTCTATGATATAAAAAAATATAGACCACTTGGTGGTAGCTTTAATATTATGAACATCCAGTCGCTTTGGTTTGGAAACAGTTTTGGAATAATTGTAGATGACAAAAGATCAAGTTGACCTTTTTTTAAATGTGCAAGCGGTAAGAATATACTAAAAGCATTTTTATCACATCAGTGCATATAAATCTTTTTCCACAACAGAGGGGAAACTTAAGATTCGAAATCGTTATTACTATTTCACGTCGGAATGGACAGTCAGGGCGAACAGAGATGGGAAACACAGAAAGTATTGTCTAACCTTGATATCCTATGAGCAATGCACTTCGACCTACTTTACCCAACAGAGTGCAATGACGTTTTCAGATGCATTTCAAGTGATACAATTGCTCGTGTTTCCAACTTAACAGAAACATTTTTTTCTAATGGATGGATTTGATTTTCACTTTATAATTTCGAAATTATCGTTACTTTACGAAACATTTAATTATGGAATCTCTGAAGTGACAATCCTCAAATCTTGTTATTTAGTCACATACACGGTTCGCAGAGGAAATAAGCGATTCAGTGTCAAACATAATCTGAGGGTGAAAATATACTTTACATATTCATAAAAATATCTGACTAAAGCAGAGTCTATTGTACATTGAGACATAATGAGCTAAACGACAGACGCATCCTGCCTCTCCCGTGGCACTGCCGTAGACATGCCAAGGCCAGTAATTTGTTCACCTGAAAACACACGGGATCATGTTAATGTAAAAATAGGGATTTGCATCGGAAATGGAAATTTGGCAATGTCCTCCACATGGCTGCCATAAAACATTTTGAAGAGCTTTCCTGCGGTCTTGAATGTTGCATCCTTGAACAAACAAGGTCTGTGCAGCAGGTGTATATAATAACTCTTTGAAATGTTGGTAGAAAGCATGATGGATTACACCTATGACCCCGGTATGTGGCTTGTTCTGGACACTTTGATCATGTGGAAATGTGCGGTTGCTGAAAGTTGGTTTATGGGAAGGTACACAAGTCTTCATTACAATGTCGATTGCAAGCTGCGTATCACTAGGTAATTATTGACAACAAGTTCTGAGCTGCAGGTGTATATCGCTCTTTGAAATCTTGGTAGAAAGCATGGTCGATTACACTCATGACACATGTTACCTGCTCTTGATATTTTGCTCATGTTGAAATGTGTGGATCAAATAGACAACTGCTGGAAGTAGGTTTATGGGAAGGCACACCAGTCTTCCTTACAATGTGGTTTGCAAGCTGCGTCCTAATAGGTGAGTGAGTGGGTGGGTGAGTTTAGTTTTACGCTACAGTCAGCAATATTCAAACTATATGGCGGCGGTCTATAAATAATCGCGTCTGCACCAGACAATCCAGTAATCAAGATCATGAGCACCGATCCACGGAATTGGGAACTGATGACATGCGTTAACCAAGTCAGCCAACCTGATCACCCGATTCTAAACTTGATCTTCACTGGTCACCACAAGGTAATTATTTACTTTGTGTTTACTGGTGACATACATCATTGACACCCAATTCACCAGACGGATGGATGGAAAAAGGAACTTTAATTATTCAGACAATATTTAGACAGTGTAAAAGAATATCATCACCCCTATGGTATGAATGGTAGGGTGGTGGTGGTCTACTTTTGTCGGACACTTTTACACACCCTTTGAAACCATACAAAACTCAACAAATCAACTGGACTTTTCACCGAGTATGAGCACTTGGACTCATTTATTGTGTTCCAAATTTACAGAACTAGTTGATTTGTGTTTGCCGAGATGAAATGTAAACAATATTTGAACCTATGTATACACGTGCCATTTAGAAAGTGGTCAGATATAACACAAGATATATTTGGGAGGATTTGTTGGGTCCAATCCGGCCGATTGTATGAGCGCCTCAATCACATTTTCACTCGAAATAAAGTCGCTGCACTCTCTAACACAAAATAATATCTCAAGATAATTGTGCCGATGTTTTTTGTTGCGTAGACATGATGAAGGTGATACTTGTAGCGGCTCTGCTGGTGTGTCTGCTGGCGATACACACTGATGCAATCTACAGCTACCGCCACTACCGCAACTACCGGATCAGGATGTACTGGAGCAGAACTACATCCTGTATCTATCGAGCAGCAAGGCGGCTATCTCGCTGTTACGGCGTGAGATCCAGGTTCCAATACTATCATGGAAAGAGAGGTATGTTTTAAGTGTAGTGCAACATGGACGTTGGCAAACTGTTTTGTGTGAGGAAAATGTAAGTCTGTAGGATTAACTTCCTGGTTGTTCCATTAATTATGATAAAAAGACTTGTGTCTGAAGCTGCATCTTTATGATGCACGACCAGTTCGTTAACGTGTTCAAACGCAATGTACAGTTAAAGCAGAAAAACAGCTTGTTTTCATGATGTAGCGTGAATCATGATATATGCCATCAGCAAACAGACTTTGGTATATGCCCCACTAGGGATGAGATGTGTTGACAGAGTGAACAGAATTATTTGGGTCATGCTTGTGCGTGATCTTCTGATGGGACAGTAGGGCTAGTCACGCAGAAGATCCGGGTTCGATTCCCGTCATAGGTACATATGTAAAGCCCATTTCCGGTGTAATATTACTGGCTTTGCTAAAAGCGGCGTAAAACCTTATTCACCCTCTCATGTGTTATGCCTCGTCCCAAGATACCAACTTGTCCTTATTTAAGCCACGTGCATAAGTTCTAATGGTCTGACATTTCATGACAGAACATAAGCGAACCAAAAACGCATGTTAATAGTTACGGCATTTATGTCAAAGCGTGATACACGAGGCAGTCGATGATATAAATATTCTTCATCAAAACTAACCAACATTCTGTTGAACACCATACTTTTCAGGAATCGAGAATGCAGATGAGAATGCAGATGAGAATACTGAGCAGCCAGAGAACGATGACCTAATCAGCGCCAGAGATGTCATGGAGACAGTCATGGATGAACAAGGAGGTATTACAGCTCGATTATAATAATCAGTTTCCGAAACCTTTTGTATGATTCCTACTATATCATAAGCATGGTTCCCCAAACGGTAGGGTATTTTGCCCTACCGGTAGCACAAGTCACAGACTGGTGGAAAGGAAAGTGAGTTGTTCCCCGAAAAGAAACTCCTATGTGTTACATGACCAAGCTGGACATTGAATCAGATCACTGGTATGTCAGAACTTGAAATGCCATCTAAATGCACACCATATTCCATTTTGACAGATTTACCGAGGCCTAGAAATACTCGATGGTTCGTCAAACTCTGTAAAATATGAAATATGAGACACCAAAGTTGTTGTTTTTTCTTTTAGTCTTGATGCATAGATCTAAATATAGAAGAGATGGGGTCTCTTGTATTTCTTGTTGAGCGGGCTAAGTAAGTAAAAGGGAATTTGCTAATGGACCTTTGTTGAGCATCTTGGCCAAATTCCCTTGTTTTAATTTTGCCAAACCATTCAGAAATTGTGACTGTTATTCATAAAGAAGGAAGCATAGTGCTTATGGGGACGCCTACTTATTGTCTAAATGTATTCCTCACAAATTCCACATGTATGTTACACATGTACAGCATTTCACATAGTGTTTCTTTCTCTCCTGACTGCTGGGGAGGTTTACATTCTTTCTCTCCCGACTGCTGGGGACTCATTTACATTTTTGGACAAATTGTCCTAGAACTTTGAAGGAAGATGTATAATTATGCCCAAAGTTAAGTGACAAATGATCGATAGATCAAATATGGAACGTACAGAATACCTAGTCTTGACTATACTCAGAGACAAATTTCGGTTGGTGTAAATATATAATATTTTATCTATGAAACAGGGATTTGGTGGAACATTTGCAGGACGTATTCATAGTTTCTCTTTGTAATATGTTGAGGTTTTCGAGTCAAGCTGAACGTTGACAGTATCCCTACATTGTTTGTTCTGACATCTTCGCAAGTGAACCTACTGCCCTATTTCCTGGCATTATCCGATACGTCGTCACTTATACCAAGTCATATTCTTTAACCAAACAATTGATTTTTTTATTTTGCCAGATTTAGCAATCTAAATTATGATTTGAACATCCCCGTCCCACGAATGGTGATTTTTATTTATTTTCTATTGACAATGACTGTAATCCTTTGTCTAGGGAATGCTGGATCCAAAAGCGGGCTTCGTCAGCTAACTGAAGCCTAGAAACACAGGCGGCACCGCGTAAGTAGGATTCTGTCATATACATGGCGATTCACCAAACATTCGAGGTATTGACACTCTCATGTAAAATCATGTCAGACACCTTTCCTCAGTAGTTTACCTTTATTTATATTGGGAGGGCGTAGTTTGATTAAGTGCAGGCACTTCATTGTATGAAATGAATATCTTGAGATTGTCCAACACCTTGTGGTGGATGCCCAGCCTTGGATCAAAGACAGAATCTTAAGCGACATGGCATGACCCAGAATATGTACAGGGTGTCATGAAAATGATAGTTTTAAGATACGGCCTAAGGCATATGAAAGATAACAAACCTGACCTTGTCGTTTTAATTAAACAAATGAAATCTTTTCTACAAATAAAAGTAATTTTCGTAGTAGGTTGCAAATATAGTGCAAGCAAATGGGCCCTCCATACTAACGAAATGTCACCTCTGCATCTTTATGTCAGGATCACCAGAACCCTCTTTGCTGCATTCATGTATTTTAATATGTCAATAATATTTGTGACTTTGTACTTATGTGTTTTCAGGATCCATTCCCGATGGTGAAAGACACTATGATCTTCCCTCGTACATCGTCTGAGTGTCTCTGATTCAGTTAACATAATAAATCCTTGAAGCAGAGTTTGTCGTTGTGTAATTGATGCTTTGTTCTTTATTGTGCCTGTTCTGTGAGGATTTAAAGGGAGGGGAGGTAACCTTGTAGTTACAGTCCTGGCATGTCACGTGGAAGATCTGGGTTTGATTGCACACAGGGTTACAATCCGTGAAGACAGTTCCCAGTGCACCTCACCTTCATGTATTGGGATGTTGCTTAATGTGATAAACTTCATGGTGATAAACAATATTGCAAAAGACAACAACACGTTATCCGAACAGACAGGTTCAATTCAACACCAACCGTGATGGCTAAGTCGTCTTTACGGTAGAGTTGCTCCCACTGGGCGTTCAAGAAACCTTTGACCGTTGGTTGGATTGGTTTGGTTTGGTTTGGTTGTTGTTTAACGCCACACTCGGCAATATTGCAGCTATATGGCGGCGGTCTGTAAATAATCGAGTCTGGACCAGACAATCCTGTTATCAACAGTTTGAGCATCGGTGAATGCAACTTGGAACCGATGACATGTGTCAACCAAGTCAGAGAACCTGACCACCCGATCCCGTTAGTCGCCTCTTACGACAAGCATGGGCTGCTTAAGATCTTCTCGGGTCTATCGCAGGTTGGAGTCCCACGTGGCCCATAATATGTTTCTAGATTTGTCAACGGCATACCTGTAACGTGTGGATTTTTCCAAATGATAAAAGTCGAAGACCAGTTCACTTAGCATTTTCCTCTTATATGAAGATTGTCACATACTAGAGTAAACACAAGACCCAAATTAAAAGTTAATATAATTTATTCACTTAATTTACCTTATTTACAATAGTTCATATAGGCTTGCATTCACAACTTCATTCTCGCATTACCAAACATACTAACACTGTTTCCCCTACACGCCCAAACAAGCACATCATACCTCCCCATTCATATATACTCACATACACTCACATCAACACTCAAAATATCACAACACTACAAATGTCTTTTTAAAGAAACAAACAACAATTCATATCATTACGTTATATACATGGACGATGGAAGAATTAAACAAATTCATTGAAAGCACAAATCAATAATTATTGTATACTGTACAAATCACTGTCGATGTTGTTATCACCACATGTGGGATTTTCAGACAGTTCAGTTCTGTAGTGGTAGGTTAGGGGTCCTTCCCCTGCATATAAATCTTTAAACACTTCGGCGGCATGTCACTCTGATCCCTGCTGATCAGTCGGTACAGCCTTACTGTGGGGGTACGTCACTCTCCCCAGACACACAGATGTCAGTTCACATCACAGGCGGCATGTCAGGATCGATCCCTCGCGATCGGCGGGACAACCTTACGGGGTGTAACACCTACCCCGGACAACCAGTTGAATATTCAGGGAAAACAGCCAACCTGACACACACATACACTTTCCAACTGATTGCCAACTCACAAGTTTCAAATCAGTCCTTTTATACCCCAAGCTGCTTGATTGACCCCAAGCTTACTACCAGATACATACAATGGTCTCCCATACTGCAAACCTCCAACACAAACAATCGCTCACCGCTTACATCACTGTTCTTGCTCGCAAGTCCTCACTCCAAACCTGTCACACCTCAAATATAAGATAAAACAGACATTACACTACTTGTGATCTTGACAAAGATGCTACCCCATTACATAACTGAAATACAAATTCGATGCTGCGTTCAAACCGAGCTGCTCTCTAACGCTGATGGAACATCGTACCTTATGATCTTACATAACAGCAATCACACGTATAATCTTGCTAAATGGCGTGTCCCAAGTCTGTCATCAGAATGCGCTTTCTGAATCCTCATTCTGTTTCTTATTTATGTATTTGAATAAATGAAGGGTTTTATCGTTGATGGGATGATCATTAGGAATGTCGATATAGAAAATATCGTTATTCCCTACACGCTGGAAGACCCAAAACCAACATAGCCTTACTCAGGGATGCAGATAACTCAAGAATGCTGATTTGATGGATAAAATATAGGCAAAATACAAATATATACTTAGAAGATCTGGAGTTTAGAGCTGAACGACCACAAAAAGTCAAAGTAAAGAAATACTTGTGTTAAAAGGAAGAGACAAAACATTCAAGTTATTAACACCCTCACACGAAGAATCATGTCAGACACTTCCATTGCTCGTTTCACTGTCGTTTATATGTATCAGTTATAATGTGTGGGAGTGGTTTGATCAAAGTGGGGGTACTTCATTGTGCACTATTGAAAATATTTTTTTGTCAGAACTCATGTTGAAAACAAAGCATTCTACAGACAGACAGACAGACAGACAGACAGACAGACACACAGACAGACATTTATTCAGTAATAGTCCACCGGCTCCAAATATCTTCATGATAAGAAGTTACATACGTTTTACATAAAACATCAGAATCTCTTATTTGCCAAACATTATATAAAAATAGACATAAATTATTTATAACATTTACGTTTGTTGAAGTCATTATTTATAAAGCTGTGACATAACCCAGAATATGTACAGGGCGAGTAGTATATATAATGGGGGTACGAAATCAAGTCCAACAAAAGCCTCTGCAAAGCCTTATTTCACATGTCCACTTTATCTATGTTGTAAGTTTTGACTGACCATATAGGATCGGTGGCCCGCTTACGGCTAGCACCCTCGTGTTCCCCCGGCTGGTATAGATACCTCACTAGGGCCCTATCTGGTATCTGTTTCTCTTTCCCACGCAATGGAGCAGCCGACTCTCCCACTATTGATTTTAGTTTGATAGTGTCTGCCGGTTTCTTGCCGGTGAGATGGGTGGCTTCATGGTTGATTGCCGACACCACCTGAGGTAGCTGCACGACCCATTCAGTCGATCGTTGGCCATCTCTTTCGCATACTGATGCCTGAATAAGCGCTCAGCCAAAGTCCTATTGAATGTCTCAACTATGGCTTGGCTGCGATGGGCTCCGGCCGTGCCATGCCTGACCTTTGTATCGTGTTTGTCTAACAGGTGTGACACGACACCCATGAACTCCTGCCCGGGGTCAACTTGCAGCTCTGTTGGCCACGTCAGCGGACTGCGTTTGTATATGCGTTCGAATCCTCGGGCTACCTGGGCCGAGTCTTTCGTGGTCAAGGGTTCGGCTTCCTTGTAGTGACTGGCCACGTCCACGACGGTTAAGGCATACTTGTACCTCTTATCGTGGGGTAGGAACAGGAGGTCGGCCTGGTGAACGCTATTGGTTATGTTAATACCGAACTTCCTTCTAGGCACGTAGCGTGGTGCCGGTAAATAGATCTGCCACAGGGCTTGTTTTTCTAGCCACGCTTGGGCCTCCTCCGGGGGTACTCGCGCCATTTTAGCCAGCTTATGTATGGCGCTAGCTCCTTTCCAGTACCCACGCAGGCTGTAGTAAATAGCCTCAAACTTTCTCTGGTTCCGTGACATGTCGCCCCCGATATATACACCTATGTTCTTGGTTCAATTTTCTCATGCCCGTACGCGTACGTGTTGATCCCATCAATAGCTATCAAACGCTTAGTGTCCATCGGCGACAGGGACGTCTTGTTTATTGTCAGTCTGTATATCCTATGCCCATCACTTCTAAGCGTGTTCATTTTATGCCTGAAGGTACGGGTCTTGAACAGGGCTTCCTTGAATCTGGCGTGTTTGATGTGTTGTTTCACCACGTACTTCTTAACACCTTTCGCCTTCCGGATCTCACCATTGTCGGCCTTCAGGATGGAGTACATCTTAGGCCTCAAACCTATGTACTCGGCTATGGGCGTGCCAGCACACTCGTCCTTCATCTTACCTAGGACCTTTTTATTTACCGTGCTGTGTATGGCATGGTCCTTGGGGTAGTCACTGGTGTCGTACAAATCGAGGCGTTTTTTCATGTCCTCGTACACATCCTCGGTTCGAATCTCCATCAGCAGGGAATCCGTATCAGTGTACAGCACTTCACACCTGTCGTCGTACTGTTTCTTCAGCTCGTTGTAGTAAAAGTCGTACATCAGGTGTTTGGATAAATCGAGGATGCTAATCCCCACGTAAACAGGCCGGTTGAATTTTATGTGGCTTTTCTTCATGTGTAGGGCAACTAGGTCATCGGTGAATATCTTGCTACAGTTGAATGCCGGACTGGCTATCAGTCTCCTGAGCTTGTCTTCCTCATTCGACCGAACCAGCTTCACGGTCACGCGTTTCCTCAGGTTCTCCATAGTCTTACCAAACACTGAGTTGTTCATGAGCTTGTAGAGATTTTTCTCAAAGTCACTGGTGGCAAGCTTTCGGAGGTCTGTGTTCATTCTGATGTATGGCTCCATCCATGGGCTCTGGTTGAACACGAGCACCCTGTGTATTTTGGTCAGCCTCATACCCGACAGGTACAGCTGTAGGTTGCGATAGTGAACGATGTACTTGGTCTTATTCATTAAGTTGGACACGAGTTTTTCAACGTCTGCCACCCGCCCGCCTAACAAGTTATGTTGGTACTCAGACATCCAGTCTGGGTTAACCCTCATACGTTCGGGGGCCAGGGGGTAGCTGTTGTGTGATGTGTGTAATGCCTTGGGGTATTCCAAGTCCACCTCGAGGATATAACCTTTGTTCGAATCGTCCGCGATGCTCATAACATCAACCTCGTGCGATGCCCATTCGAATCCCCCCTGTGGGTAGATACTGGCTAATGGCCCAGCCGTACAGGTTGTTGGCGTCGAGGTAGAGAATATGATTGGTTGGCTTGCTCGGGTCGTAGCCCTTCACGTATTGATTATTTGCTTTCGCGTATCGTTTGGTTGCCATGGAAATCCCACCTCGCAAGCCTTTCTCAATGAATAGGTGCATGTCGTAATCTGTGAGCAATTCCAACTTAACTCCGGTCTTTTTCAGCAAGGCGTCCCACGACAGACCTGGGCTGGTGTAATACCATGCGGGGTCGAGTTGATACTGCTTGAAACACATCCGCCTAAACGTCTCAAACACGTCGGCTAACAGCAGTACATCTGTCCTCAAGTACAGGTCGTGATAGTCACCCAGATTCTTACAGCCCAGTTTATTCCATGCGTTAATAGCCTGCGAGTAATCGTCTTGGGATATTGCCGAGTCGGTCAGATTGCTGTAAAATTCTCTGATGGGGGGTAGTCTGGTCTCGGCGAACTTGGCCCAGCCATCCATGTACTCATAGGGGTACACACCCTTCCTCATCAGTATCGGTCTAGTCTTGGCGTCGGTGTATCGATCGGTGATGGGGAAGGTATCGTTGGCCTTGACCAGACTGTCGAGTGACGACAGGAGGAACTGAACCGAGTCGATGAACCTCAGGCCATTCAAGCTGAAGGAGATGTGTCTCTCCATGTTGTTGGGGATGCACGTAAGGTTGCCATCAACCCTCGCGATGGCCTGCATGATCAAGTGAGAGTCGTACCCTCTCAAGTTGTGAAAGACCACGGGGATGTTTATTGTCTTGGGGTTAATTCTGAGCTTGAGGTTGCACGCGCTGTGAGCGGCGCCTCTATACTTACCGGTGACGTGGCAGTGATCTCTCACCAAATCACCGTTCAGTGGTGAGTCACACACGTGACAATTAGTGCTACAGGCGTGAGCTAGCCGGTCGGCTTTGGTCATACGCATGGGAGCGACTGTATACAGTGCATTCCTAATAATTTGTTCTTCCTCCTGCAAACACTTTAGAAACTTTCAACTGCGTCGGGACCCCTGTACACTACTGGAGCTTTCGTTTTCCCATCACAACGGACGACTACGTATCCAAACCCACAGGCCTCATGCTCCTGTGTTTTCTGTGTGGTTGGGGGTGCCCCAACAGCCCCACCCCTGGCAACCTCAACGGGTTTGACCAAGGCTTCAAAGTCGGCGTAGATGACATAAGGCACGGACATTTGGTTCTTGTGGTTGCCGAATTTTAGGATATTGTCACCTTCCTTAGGCATGTCGACTCGTATGTCCGTCTGCCCCACACCTTGGCAATCCTCCCGGTGGGATTCTAATAAATCAGCTCGTGTGAAGCCGTGTAGGCACCGTTCGCAGAAGTGGCTCTTTTCTCTGTGTGCAGATTGGTCATACAACAGCCTGCTAAAGTGTTTTATCCACGCGTAGTGGTACTTGTCACCTCGCTGGATCATGAATATATTGATAACGTGGCGGGGTTTCCCCAACACTGGGCTGACCCTGTGTACTATTGTTGTGTTACCTTCGTGCCCAAAGACGTTTATGGCTATATTATTCTGTTTTTCTACTTTGGTGATCTGGGATATGGGGGTGGGTTCATCTATACCATCCCAGTTGAGCCCATCGTCTTGGGGATAACTAGAAGGCCTGTTCGAATTAGTGTCAGCTGGAAACAAGGCTGACCTGATAGCTAACCTCAGGCAATCGTCTCCTCTATTCTTGACGTTGACCATGGCCTGTTTTTTCTTATAGTAGGGGGGCAAGTCTAGGTATGACCCGCCTCTGAACCGCACGTAGTTAGCTATGTCTAGATAGACATTATCGATTTTATCAACAACCCACCTGGACCCCATTTGTGTGTAGCGTTCTAGGTATTCTCGTATCTGCTGAAAACTGGTATCGATTGATGCGTCTATGGTCTCTGTATGAGTGACGATTTCTTGTTTACCTCGGAAGTAAGGCTGAACGTACTCAGTGACCCCATTCCCCACGTTCTTATCGAGTGACATTTTCACTGTGATCTGAAACTTTATACTTCCCAGATTGTTTAGTTCCTGATTGACTTTATCAGCTATCAGAGGCTTGATATCTGTGATGTCTATGTTCCTATCAACATGCATGCGCCAGCCTCTCAAATAGTTGCCTACAGCGCTCTCAGTGGGTATGAACTGTAGGTCAATAGCTCTATTCTGCCGTAATAGTTCTACAAGCTGTGGTTTCCTCATACAGGAATATCCGCCTAACCCAAAATTGCGTACCTCGGCTTTTAATTGTTTGACAGTGGGGGGTTTTGCTACGGGGTCATGTGATAACAATGCGACTAACCCGGCTCTCCCCAGGTGGGAATAACCTGTGAACCCAAGCTCTTTTGCTTGGACTTTTAATTGCTTTACTGTGGGAGGTGCTTGTATGTTAAGTAATCTCAACAATGCTGGTTTGGTCATTTGAGAATAACCAATTACACCACGGTGCCTGGCGATCTGCTTGAGCTCACGAATAGAAGTCATAGTTGCGTGCAATCTCTAATTGGGCCGCCGGCAAGGGAGGTAACTCCTCCAACCTTGATAAAAAATATAGTGAGGCGCCCATAAAATCCTTTAGTAAATATCTAGATACACCTTATCGATTATTCCCTCGACCCACCCGAAACATACGCAGCATAGTAGGGTGTTTTGTATTACATGCAACGAGTTGTCAACAAGTATATCTATCTCCCCATGAACATCTACTCGCCCCCCATCAAAGTAATTCCAAGTGTGCCCATCCCACGACACATCAAACCCTACTTTCACCATGACTGTAAACGAGCACCCCTTATATAGTTCACTAACAATGATGGGTTTGAGGACACTTATATCTATACTTTTCCCCACAACCATCTGCCAGCTTCTCAGGCAACTTTCCCTGGGCTCAATTTCCACAAACATAGTTATACCTAGGTGTTGACAGTCTCTAATTGAGGACTTATCCTGAGGAGGCGCCTACGTTCTTTTATGTAGGCCTTTTTATTCTCGTAGATGAGATGATGTCTGACTACGTTCGTCCCATGAGCTTTGCATAGGCAGTAGTGCCCTTTAACCCCTATACCACACACAGAACACGTGTAGTTAGGGCTTCCCATGTGGAAACAACAGTACCCTTCAGTCCTGCATTTCCTACCACAGGCTTCTTTCTTCCCCATAAGTATGTATTCGCATCGGTACGGAGCAGGTCTCATCTTTAGCGTACTTATATGAGTACTTAGTCTAATTGTTTTGCAACCAACGCAGTCGCTGCTATACCCAGCCCGATGAAGACCAGTTCACGGTCCATTTGCCCCTTGGATGGTGTGTAGTACTGAGCTAGTGTGGGCTTATTGAGTGGTTCCAGCTGTTTACCTGTTAGTAGGTAGTATTCTCTCGCTGCGTCGTCGACATCGTGGAATGTTTGAACGGCATGGTTCTCATGCCTGAGTTGTTCGTTAATGTAATCGATCCTCTGGAAACGTTTTTTCGCGTACTCGGATTGTGCCGCTTGTAATTTCTCAATAGCAAGGTCGTGCCTCTTACGCTCTGCCTGTATCTCAGCCGCGTGTGACTCTCGTAATTTCGAGAAGAGGAAATTACTCCCGGAAAATGCCAGGCCATTTACTAACGCCCCACCAACCATCATGGCAATCGTAGCCATCCTATATTTACTTCATATTATTTTCATGTGGTATCCCTTGTTTTACTAGGATGTCCTTTGTGGCCATCGCCATACCAAGGTTCATTATGAGCATACCCATATCCTGCAGGTTGAAATCTAGCTTGATAGTCGGTTGTTTAAGCACCATTTTGGTCAACCGAGCGTATCCTACGGCTAGACTGGCTAACACGGTGGCGTGGTATGCGTCGTTGACGAACGTTTTCCCCTCAGACATTATGTATATGATATAAAAATATATATTTTATAACATGATATGTGGGTTGACCTCTAATTGCGGGGGTTTCTCCGGGGGATCCCTGTATCTTGTATATAACCATGAGATAGCCACGGCAGCAGTTACGCCTACAACCAACAAGAGTCGAGTTGGGTTCACCGTGATACTTTTATGTTGGTGACACCACCTTTTTTTACCGGCAGCTACTCTCTTAGGATTCTTCTGCCTGGTGACTGTAGGGGTTCACTTCCCTGGGGGTTTCCCCAACGTGGTGGTCTCCCCCAACGTTGGGGTCTCCTCCCTGGGGGTTTGGGGTTCCTCCTGTGCAGTATCCATCTATACTGTTATTATTATTTTTCCCCTCCTTAAATTGGCAATGCTTAGCCGTGATAATCGCCGCCGTCACCGGGGCTAACAACATACTGTATTTGTGGTACAGCACGCAGCTGATAGAGCTCAAGGCGTGTTCAATAAAAGGGTCTTTCTCAAGGTCTTCCCACAGGTAAAGTTGGCGCTCCGGGGGGATGGGAAGGAAGTATGACGCAATACCAGTGTATATCTGGGTCATAGCCGATCCTATAGTCTTCGTCATCTCGGCACCGAGTCAAGCCTCATATCTAGTGTACAGCTTATCGATTTCTTCAGTTGACATTTTGTGAATTTTATCGGGAGTGTACTCCCCAAAGTAATGTTTGGCTTTGCCACCAACAGCCAACGCCACCAGTCTCTCTCGCTTGTCATCACTCTTATCATCGTCCCCTGACACCAACAGTTGTTCGAGCAGTTCATCACACTCCATCTTATGATGTAACAAGCAAGTTTTAGTTTTAACAATATAATATACGGTATAGGCGAAACACAGAGAAATGAAGGTTAAGTTGCACACGACGAACACTTCAAAAACACCCATAACTATAACTATAACTATAACTGATAAGTGCTAAACGCTAAGCATTTACCAAGCATTGCTAAGCTTTGCTAAGCTTTTGCTAAGCTTTTGCTAAGCTTTTGCTAAGCATTTGCTAAGCTACAACACCCTATAGGCCACGGGTTGGTCGGTCTTGAGCACAAGCTTAGCATGTTTAGTTTCAGCTAGCTGTTTCTTCACACGTTCCCTATCATGATTTCTCATCACATCGTTCTCTCTCAAACACTCCTCGAACGAATCCCTGTCCTTGCAGTGGAATAAGGCCACCCATCGCGTCTGCTCCCTGAGGTCTTTCAACACCGAGTTGAACTTCTGTGTTAGTACCCAGACGCTGTGCTTTGCGTGCCGGCCAGAGAAGGCCAGGTACGATAGCATGTCTCTCTTTTTTGTTATCTCGCGATTAGCGCTGCAGTCGTCCAGTATGAACAGCGTCGACTCCCCTTTAAATTTCATATGGTACGCTTTCAACCAGTCCTGCAGACACGTCCCCAGGTCGACTCTGTGTACGTCCGGGTCCGTCATCACACAAGGTCTTTCCGTGTACGTTCTATTCATTTGCAGAGTAGGGCACATGATAACGATATTGTCGAACACATCCCGGTAGTACCCCTCCAACATATCCAACACGAAAACGGTCTTCCCACAACCAGTCTGCCCGCACACTATGGCGCAGTGTGGGTCGCGGGGCAAATCAGTAGGCAGTGGCCTGCCGCCATCAGTAGATGGCTTGCACGAATCTCCCATTGTCTATATTAAGTTGCGCATCCATAATCACGTACAGATATAATTTCAATTTGCCCGCGGGCTGAGCCTTCTTGGTAATCTGGATTGTTATCCCCTCACTGCCGTTGTCTATGCGGCGACCGCTACCGTGCAGTTTATCGTCATCTGTGGATCGCATGTCCAACCATAGCGCATACTTGGTGGTCAGGTATTCACCGATGTGCACGGAGGATAGGTCCAGGTCTTTGGTTAAGTATGGGTGTTGTTTGATGGCCGGTAGCTTTTTTATCTCATCCCACTGCTGGTATGCCCTCATACCATGACTGAACAGCTGGTTGGGTACGCCCTCGATGGTCACTTCCACCTTTTCAATCTCAGGGTTGAAAAACTTCTCGCTGTCCCTCCGGAACGGCTCGTAATCCTCCACGGGGACGACCAGGATGCCTTTCATCGATCGCGCCGGCACGTTCAGGTTGATATTCCACACAGTGTCGCTCTTATCCCGCACGACTGATCTATGCCGCAGTATGCGATCGTACAAGATGGCCACCTTCCCTGAGTACTGGCTTCGAACCTGCCTGGCCAGCTCCGGGCTAGTGACCATGTCGAACTCCAGAGTGATGTTGTCTATGGTGTAACTGGCCTCATCGCCGTTCGGCGTACGCACTACTTTGCTGTAGTCGTTAAACATTAGCTTGTATTCAAGTCTATCACCCAGCGCGGCCTGGTAAAACGGTTCGTGTCCCGTGAGCAACTAGAAGTCGAGCGGCACGCAGAACCTGTTCCCGTACGCTTGGGCGATGGCCTTTTCACCGTCCGTGATCTTGTCTAGCTGGTCTGCCGTGAAGCCATACCCCATGCGCAACCGGGTCGATTTGCTGATGCCCTGGTACACACGACATTGATGCGTTCTCCCTCGCTTTTTCCAGAGGTCCCCATAGCAGTGAAAGACGTCGCTGTCGTCAATGCTCAGCACCTCGTTACCGCTGATCTTGATGGTGGTTTTCTTGATGATGGCTCGACCTACATTCCGCACTAGCTCGCGTTTGTTGTTGTTGGAGGTCAACGTGAGGTTGAACGCCAGTCGAACCGTGCCTGGTACAATGAGGTCATTCTCGCCAAGGTTTGGGAATCTAACCAGCAGCGTTTGATTCTGGTCTATCTTGCTGGGATTGTTGGTGATGGTCACCGACTGGCGCACGGCTCTGACGCCTAGAGGCTCTCTTGATCTTCTGAAAGGATCTAGTTTTCTACCATACATTGTTATATAAATGAAATATATAAGTTTTAATACTGAATAATGGCTGAAGGCGGTTATGAGGACATACCTATGGAAGATATGTGGGATGATAGCGCCCAGGCATTCGGGGATGATGAAACCTCATTCACGCAAGGCAACGAACTCGTGAAGCAGGCCGTCAACGGGTTTTACGATGGTTTAAAAGGTGATAAAATTACGTCGAGCCGTGGGGGCGAGACTATTCCAAGATTTTTGTCGATAACAAGGGCATGCTGCGATGGAGGGCTCACCCAGAGATCAATCTCATGAATAAGTGCACGAGAGAACCGCTTGCCTTATCAACACTCGGCAGTCGCCATGGGGGTGACTTGATCCACGATGAACTAGGCTTCATAGATTACGGTGGCGCACGGCCTAAAGCCCTTCCCCAGGAGGCCGTTCAAGATCTGCAAAACGTCAGGGGCGCCACATCGGATCAAGACATGACTGATAACATTGAAAAGCTGTTGGCCACCTACCATAACAAACCCTTACCCGGGTTCGAATTTACCGTTCGGGAACTACGGGGGCTGGACAAGGCCATGCAAACCATTCATGGGTCACTCGTGGACAACACGGCCAAACTGGATGCGATAGACGACCACATCGCCCATGAAAAGGTCAAACTCGGTGAAATGGAGGACGAGTCTCTGAAAGCCACCATCGAGGAACGAACACGTAATTTGGAAGAGGAAAGGAAGACCCGGCTGGAAACGGCATCCTCCTTCCGAGACCAGCTTCGATCCCAGATCAGCCGTGTGCGGGAAACCGTTGATCGAGTCCTCTACCAGGACACCACGCTAGCTGACAGGATCCGAATCCTCTTCCGAGAGCAAGGCATAACCATTGCCAGCATTCTGACTGCATTGGGCTTCATCATATCAACCCTGGTGGTGTCATTGACAGGGGAACCCCCACGCCTGCTGGCGGCAGTGGCACACCACCAAGTGGTGGTAACTGGATAAAAAAACTCGGGGAGGCCCTGGCTAAACTGGCTGGTAAGGCCGCCGAAGCCCTGCCCGGCATCCTGGGTAGCATCGTCTCGTGGCTGCTGAGCCCTCTGGCTAAAACTGCCACGTGGCTCAGTCAAAACCTGTGGGCAGCCATCGTTGCCGTGGCGGGTTTGGTGTACGTAGCGGCTAAGGAATTTTTAACCAAATAACTCCCAACCCGACCGCTACCCCACCAACCACCAGGGCTGTTTTACGATCGATGTGCTGCTGATTGGATTGTGGGGGTGACCCCACAGGGGGTGTTGGTTGAACCCTAGGCTCCGGGGGTGGTACGACTATACCCGTTTCACTGGTCGTGGGTGGTGGGACGTGGGTGGTGTTAACATCGGGGTTGACGCCCAACTTTTGGTCTGCCGTGGCTATGACTATTTCGTTGTTGTAGCCCACCACTTTTTTTACTCTCAGTTGCATATCGCTCGGAGCCAACACGTCTTGGTAGCGTTTGATGGCACTCGGGAGATCAACTGGAGAATTGATAGCATCCTCAACGTTAACAACGAACTGTTTCTGAGCGTCGTAAGCAGTCCCCTTACCGAGGATGTTGGAACGCGTTTGCGTCTGCGCACCCAACAGCGCCCACACGTACGTTCGAATCGAGTCGTTCAATCTGGTGACACCGGCACGAGTAAACCCTCTCGACGTGTCCAACATGAACTTTTTCCAGTCATCCGCTGCCCCCTGCTCGAACCTCCAGACTCGGTAATCCTTGCTGTTGTCGAAAGCCATGTAACGGTCATCCCACTCGTTTGTGAGGTGATGATACGACTAGTAACCCCATGCTTTCATCTTCTCGCTGGCATCCACGAGGGGCATGTTGTGAACGATGGGGATACCCAACCCGTGGTTCGGTCCCGGCAAACGCCAATCCGTCTTCGGGTTTAGTTCGAATTCGTTGCAAATACGTTCGTAGACCCGTCTATCGTACTGGTTGTTTACTGCGTTCCACGCCTTGTCCTGTGGGAGAGGGGCGCTGATCTCATTGAGGATACGTCTGACCTGGTAGTACACGTGGAACGTGAACACAGACTGACTCAGCGGTCCACGCCGAGTGTTGGTCAATGTCACACCACATCCCGTTGTAGCGGACCACACGGCGAAGTTGAGTTGATTCTGCCAGAATTGCATCGGGTTGTTGAACCAAGCATGAACTACCTTGGCGTTAGTCACCGAAAACCTATACCGATCGAACACATCTATGAACTGGGCGCCGAAATACAGCCGATCAGTGACTACGATCTTCATGTGGGGGAAATCTATGTCCAGTTTAGGGTAGAACACTCCAGGGGAGTACATTTTAAAACTATTATCTAATGAGCATATATACTCTAACATGTACACAACACTTCCAGGAATAACGAGCGGCGAGGCCGTTCAGCTGACGCACGCGATCGATAATATGTTGGGTCAACTCGAAGTCGCACTCTGCGATATCACCTACCTACCGCAATGGACTAACATCAACGCCAGCAACAATAAGCTGTTCGTCGGTGGGGCTCGCAGCCAGATAACTGACGGCTACTACAGCATGTGCTCACTAAGTGACGAGGTCTTCAAGCCCCTGGGAGCCGAACTCAAGATGAACGACTCAAATGGCACAGTGGTGTTAATCAACAACGGAAGAAACTCCTTGAGGCTCGGCTGACCATTGGCGAGGACACTAGGTATGTCGCCTGACGAGATAAAACCAACAACTACCGTCACAGGCATGAAGTAACCCGACCTAGTACCGTATCGAGAGCTGTACATTCATCTCGGCCAAGTGAGCACAACGTACAACATTCAAGGGGGTTACCCTTCCACTATACTGAGAGCCGTACCGGTGAAAACGGAGAAATACTACGACGGTAGAACCGTGTCGTTTTCACCACGGCAGTATAAAAGGTTGACTCAGGGCAACATACCTGAGCTGATAATATCGGTGTTAGATATAAATCATAATCGGGTGAATATAGGATACCTCAGCATAACGCTTCACATAAAATGACCAGCGCACAAGGGCCAGGGTTGAAAAAATGCATCAATGTGGGGATCTCCGACCTCGGGGACACACGCGGTTTTGACGCCCCCAGAGTAGATGGTAAATTGTACGCCTTGCAACTGAAAAACAACATTTACAAACGCGTTGAAGTCCCCTCCCGGTGGAGCCCTAGGTGATATAGTAGATACCTCAAGAGCGGCCGTCAACACTCGGTACACCCTAGTCAACACCGGTGATGATAAAGTGGGTGTTGTTACCCGCTAAAGGCGACTGGTTTCTCAATATTAAGCTCGGCTCCCCCTACGTGTTGACGGATAACAAAGACAACTACCTAAACAAAGTCGTGAACAACGGAACCCTGCTCGTGGCTTACGTCCCGGCTCAGAGACATAGCGTAGTCATCAGTCCAGTCGCCAGTATGGCAGCACACATGCTATCGAGTAAACCGGGAGTGCAAGACGTGACATTGCAGTTGGTGTCTGAATTCGCTGGCGTGGTCAACATCCTGGCGAGCCTACCAGATAACGCCACTCTGATCATCAAAGTCTACCTAGGGGAACCATCGCGGGATGATGTCGAAATCGTGAAGGGGATCAAACTCGGGGTGGGCGAAACGACACCAGTATCACGTTTGCACCGTTTACGTGCGGGTGGGTGTCAACTCCAAAACCAGTCTGCAGGGCGTCACCGTGATCGTGGAAGACACGATATCACTAACCAAGATCTTCCTACCCGACAACATACACTTCATGGGGGTGAAGTTAACCCCTGAACTATTATCAGAAAACCAGTTGGAAACTATATTGTAATAGTATTATAGCAATGACCAGTCATCGTCCCAACGCTACGCTTAACGACCTAGGGGACACGGAGGGATTCGATCAGCCTGGTGAGGACGGCACCTCATACGTCCTGTCCTTAAGAAAAGGCGTGTACGTGCGGCAAATGGTTGAGCCCAAATGGTTGATCAACATGACCCTCACCGCGCCTTATATCTCGCTAAACAAAGATGGAGAGGTCTCCGAAATTAGGAACAACGGCATCTTGCTTGGGGTTTTCGTACCGAACTATAGGATAAGTACTCAGATAACAGGGGATAACATGAGTAACATGTTAGTTGTTTCAGGTCGGGAGGACGAGTTAAGGTTTGACGTCCCCGATACCCAATTGGCCTATATGATTGTGGTACCAGGCTCCACACTCACCATAGAAGTCCACCTCGGATCGGTTCGTAATAATACAGAACGGCAACTTTTACCCGGGGTGACAATACGCTGGGGCATCA